CACAAAAAAACAAACAAACAAACAAATAAACAATAACAAAGACAAAATACCCAAATAAACAACAAAAACAAACAAATAAACAAAAAACAAACCCTGCATAAGCACATGAGCGAATGAGACTGTGAAAGACAACTGATAAAGGAAGGATGAAGAAGGTAGATGTGTGTGAGGCATGGCTTTACTGGAATGACCTGGGCTTGCACCTTGGAAGCATACGACTAGTCTCAGATGTTGAACTGACAGAGACATTCTAGCTTCAACTTCCCCACTATCAGAAACACTGTGTCTGTTTAAGAGATAAAGGCATACAAAGCACTGATAATTTATGGTATGGATATGGTAATACATGATTCTGAGAATGGTGACAGTTGTAGGAAGAATACAAATGCTGCTTTAGATATCTGTATCAACCTGAGGAGTAATATTCATTTGTAGTTCAGAATACAAGGGGACAACTAAAGGTCTCTAGTGTTTCTTCAGAAAGGCATGCACTACTGTGTGACTGTGTGTATTCTTCAAATAAAGCAGTGCCTCTCAACTTGTGTGTCAAAGCCCTTTGGGTGCGTCACTTATGAGATTTTTTCATTATGATTCGTAATGGTAGCAAACGTATAGTTTTGAAGTGGCAATATGATGATTTTATGGTTTGGGGTTGATCACCGCAACATGAGGTATAGTAATAAAGGGTCGCAGCATGAGAAAGGTTGAGAACCAGTGGAAAAGTAAAGCGAGGTACAGCTAGTGAGCAGTATTAATGCATGGAATTTCTTCATACTCCACTAGTCACCTCAGTTAGAGGTAAACTTACCACTAGACAGAACTAGACAGAACTTCCTTTTAAGAAGGACTCGGGCTACTCATTTCAAATACATTGGTGGCAGGAAAAAATTCAGGAATATACTCTTCTGTTTGCTGAATTAAGCTTTATTTGTTTGTTTGTTTGTTTGTTTTTTCCATACTTTAATTTCCCATTGTGGAAGAAGGGTCACCTTTGTTTTTGAGACACAGGTTGCATGAAGATGATTAGAATGAATGGACGATGTCATGAAACTTCATCCATTCAGAAAGATAAATAGCACTCGGAGTCATTGGATGTGACTCCTTAGTTTTCTCTGCCCAAAATGTGCATTTAAAAGTAAGACAGTAAGTCTTTAATATAAACCTCCTTTGAAGTACAGGTTGTAGTATACAGTTCAGTTGCTAGGGGGAGCCATGTATCCACTTTTGTTAACTTGCTCCAAGCTGTGTGTGCAGTGGCCTGTTTCAGTTGCTAAACATATATTCTACAATATGCATGGTGTTTTTTAAAGAGAACACGGTATTGGAAACATCAGGGTAGTAAGTCTTAAGGCAAATTCTGACCTTAGCAAAAATGTGTCCCATGTTTCCGAATCTTTTGTCCTTAAACACAAGGGATGATAGCATCCCATGTAGCAATAGTATTATTTCCATTGCATCCGGTTATCATTTAATTCAAATAGGACAATAAATAATATTAGATGACAGGTGAGCTGAAATTACACCTCTGGTTAAGTTTTCATACACTTTGCTTCCAAACTTAAGTACAAGACCAGAAGAAAAAAGTCACTACTGCCTAGCAAATTCTGAGTGCCTAATTCCTCATGGTTCTATGTAGGGCTGGTAATACTGGGGAGAAGCAAGCAGTCCATCAGCATTCACCTTTTTGTAATATCACTGGTTGGAAATTCTCCCTTAGAATTTTCCAGTAAATAGGAAAATTAAATTATTGGGAGAGTAAAATAAAGGAAGAAGAGAAAGAATATTTTTTCTAGCTATTATTATCTACCTAGGCCTTTGCATTTATATATATGTATATGTGTGCATATGTATATATGTGTATGTATGTATATGTGCACACACACACACACGCATATATATGTATATGAAGTCACATTGATTCTTGAGAATACTACTAATCAATGAATACTTCTAATATTTTACAGAGAAGAAAAAAGGCCCAGAAAAAAATGTGTCACACATTTGAGTGTTTAAGATCTACCATAGGCTCTAGGATCCCATCAGCAAACAAAATGAAACATACAAATGAAATATCTCTGGGGAAGCTGTGTTAGCCACCTCACACTAGCACTCCCAATTGCCATGCGGGGGTAGTAAAAGCACTCATCTGATATTGCACAGCCTTGGAATGCTTTGCACTTGTCTGTGTGAGTCCTGTGTGCAAGAAGCAGAGAAGCAGGGATGACAATGAATGGCACGGGATTGTCACTGTGCAAACTTCACCTCAGATCCTCAAATAACTTCTGTGCCTTTCACAGAGAAAAATAAGGAAAAAAAGAAAAGCTTCGGTTACTTTATACGGTTCCTGCTTCCTTATACCATCAGCTTTGACTTCTGATGATAAAGGTATAAAGGACACATCCTGCTATGGAAGACTGTAGGGACAGGTAGCAGACACCACAGCATCCTTTGACCTAATTGCCACCCCTAATTGCCACCCTTTGGGATAAAGTTCTAAATCACTCACACCTGGGTGTGAAAGATGGCACACTGTTGTGGATTGGCATGAGTTTGTTAGCCTTTATTCAGCTTGGTAATGTACTTCCTAAGATGCTCCTATAAGAGTAATGGACTCAAGAAGTGGCCTCTAAATATCTTTTACTTAAAACATTCAAATTTAATGACCATACAGTATCTAAATTATAAATATCCTATGATACCGTGGTTTACAAAGTGTAATCAGAATCCTTGCCATCTGAAAACCTTTCAGGGATATAGAAATTAAATTATTCCAACATTTCAAGATCCAGCTGCCATTTAAAGGTAATCTTCCCTTTATTTAACTCCAACAGTGATTAAACAGAATAGAGAGCGCTACAGAATTATTGAGAGTACACATAAGATAATGGAGATTTTCCTACTTGCATTATGTTAATGTAACATCATTATAATGCATGGGTACAGGTTAGATTAATAAGAGCAGTAGTCTTATTGCTAACATTAGTTCATTTCATATTTCACAGAAGTAAATCCAATTCTCATTGAAATAAGCATTATTTCTGTAAGACACTCTGCTAATAGAATTTCTTTTTCAGTTTGAAGTAAGTACAGATAAACACTTCTCCAACAAGAGCTGATTTTGTATAATGATCTTTGTGGCTGTTTTCCATGTCCTCTATTTTGGGCTTTTCTGTATTTAGAAATGCATGCTAAGCTGACCTAGAGGTACGCTAACATGAATGACAGATACTTTTGGCTAAATCTCTACATGGCCCAGAGGAATCTCTGCTGTGGAGAAGCTTGGTGTTCAGTAGAAGGTCAGTGTTGGCTGCTGAAATACCTATTCACTTTTGGTCATTCTTCTGTTTCCAAGTTATATAATCATAAACACACAACCAGACAAATATCCATAACCTACAGGTAACCATCTATGGATGTGGAGAATTTCCTTTGTGTTGGAAGGGACTAATCTGCACTTAAGTTTTTACTAGTTTTTCAATGTTTGAGAGACAGTAGAGAAGAGGTCTTTCTGTCACTGTGACACAGAGACAAGTGTCTCCTCCCCACATATCCTGTAATCCTTATGTAGTTAATATGGCTACATTTACTCACAAAGGCCTTTAGTGGTTTAAATTAAGACACAAGAAATCCTAATTAATACTTGAGATGCACCTGAGAGAGACAAGTGTTTGAGGATATTAATATATTCATAAATTAAGTACTGTGAATAGTTTTGTCAGACAAAAATACTAAGAAGCACAATGTTTCTCACTGTAAAATGCAATTATTTTGCTTACTTATGATATCAAAAGGTCCAAACACTTAACATATTTGATGAATGATCAATTTGATGATCAATGCTGGGCAGTTTCCTAGGAGATCTTATCATTGGTTTTAGGAAGTCCTGTTTCACCAGAGTACCATGAATGCGAATACAAGATCTGGGAAACAGAACAGTTACTCCAAAATGGCATTGTCCTACTTAGTACCCATGATGCCTCATGGCAAAAATAACTGCACTTCCCCCGTTATGTTAAGGTACTAGTTTTCTATTGGTTGAGTTGCAAAATGAAATTTTTATGTAGTGATTGTCCTTGTTCTAAACTCCCGTTCACAGAACCATTCACCCACATGAACATCAAAACAACATATTATACTATAAAGGAATGAATGGTATTTTAGCTTATGCCTTTATTTCTTATTTCTTTTCTTCAAGTGATAATGAAGCTCTCATTTGCCATGCACAGACACTTACATTCCCTTTCTGAGAACATTTCTGATATTATTGGTTTAAGAGAGAAATGTCATTTATTTAAGAGGTTGTCTTACTAGTCTACAGCTGTTGGTAAACATTTAAGTTATTTGATTGGTTTGTCTCTATGGCCTAAAGAATGAAGAAAATCTAGCTGCCACGTTCAATCCATAGTAATCAATAGATATATGAATATTTATAAGAACATCAATATTGACATTGTCTTACAGTCATGCTTGAAGCTAAATGAGAATCCGAGTAAATTACCACAAATATTACAGTATAATAGGTTAAGAGAGTTAAAATATATGTACAGATTCATTGACAACATCTGTGCAAATATTGTGGACAAAACATTTAAAAAGAAATTTACACAAAAATAGATAAATTTATCAAATGTTGATAAATTTTCAAAGACAGTATAAAAGTACACAAAACATGGAAAAGCGAACGAATTTTTTAAAGTAGCCACTATGCCCATACATATAGTGCACATTTACTACATTTATAATTCAGAATGATGGAAACCAGAGACAAAAAACGATTCAGTAACAAACAGCAAAGAAAGTTTCACCAATCACAAAGAAGGACATTCTTTTGGGGATGGAAACACAGATGCTGAAACCCTCCCTTCTCCATACACACAGAGAGAAATTAAAGCAAACGCAAATGCAAACGTTGTCTATAGCAACACAGGACAGACAGGTGGGAGGCATTTGGTATGTTGCATCACAGGAAGTCAATCACGATTGGCTAACGATGATGGTACCTGGCTCTGTTGTAGATCACTGGCTTGTCTGAGAGGAGCAACTGAAGGAGGAGGAACTCCTGATGTAGATGCAGACCGGCCTAGCTTGCAGCTCACTTTAGGTTCTGTGAACAAGGGAGAGACAAAATATTAGCTGAACAACATCCACATTCGTAGTGTAAGACCCTCAGAATGAGGAGTCTTCCAGGTTCGGTCAATCCCCAAGAACTCAGTGTCCAGTCCAGTTGCTGCAAAACACAAGAGGCTTTAATGAATAGGAAACATTTGTGCAAATGGGCTCCTCCAGCACACAGGCTAGAGAGAAGCCCCCTCCCCTGGGCCCAGGTGTTTTTAAAAGCAAACACACAAGCTTAGGAAGGGGTGGGACCCTCTGTCCATTGAGTACGTGACCCTTGGAGGCCGGATGGTCTGCTATTAGGGTCAACAGACCTTAGGGCCTCAGGGTGTGCTAATTAATTTTGTCTGGGCATACACTATCTCTTTGTTTCCTAACGACCCTATTCACCACCTGTTGGCTCACAGGAAAGGAGGGCAGTGTGAATTCTTCTTATCTCAGGGCCTTGTGAGAGGAAGTTAGCAAATTTCAAGGAACAGATATTGGTTTTCAGGTTAGTCCATCATTAACATTACTTTTTTGGTCTTTCAGTAGGGTGGAACTCAGCCTCCACTTCTGCCTTGCTGCCTGTGGGCATGTACAAAATGCTTCTGGTGTTAGTTAATATTTATTCCGGTGACAAACCTTTTTCATAGCTACTTGTTTCAAAGGCACTTTATTCACAGATGAGTTCCTGGGGGAGTAGAGGCCTTCAAGCACAGGCCTTATGTCCTTGCTCGTTTTGCTACAGTTAGTTTCCATGCCAAAAAAAAAAAACACTACATTCAGGAGTAAAGCAAGTGAACCTGTTTTAGTCCATATTCACTTTTAGTTCCTAGGACTCCACGGCCCTAAAATGTCTTAGTTAACCTATCCAAGTTACTCCTTCTTTCTTTGCTTCTTTATTTCCTTCTCCTGCTTCCTCCCTGCTTCCCATTCTCCCCCCACCAATTCCTTTCCTCATTGCCTCTGCCTCCTTTGTCCTCCCTCCTCCCCTTTCTTACTCTCACAACTATGTTTATCCTGCTTTCAAAATAGCACTTTTCTTCCAACTTCTCTTCATTTTCCTTCTGCAGGCTGACGTGTGTGTGTGTGTGTGTGTGTGTGTGTGTGTGTGTGTGTGTGTGTGTGTGTAGCATGCACATGGAATGGCATGTATGTAAGTGGAAGACAGAGAACAACTTATAGGAATTAGTTGTCAGTTGCTGCATTTGCCAACAACTGTTTCTCCCGCTGAGAAATCTCACAGGTTCGCCTTTTAATTTGAATTTGAAAATATCTGAACTTTAAAACATATGCAATCTGTTGTGTATTCATCTTATACCCATCACATGAAATGAACATGGCTGAGCACAGTGACCACAATCCTTCTCTTGCCCTTAAAGTCTTCCCATTCTCTCTCCAGGAATGCAGACTCTACACAGCAGTCAGGCATTTGATTCATAACATCGAATTCTTGCCTGTCGATCCATTCCACATTAAGGCAATAATTATCATTCAAGGAACTATGACCCTCTAGGACTCATGTCAGAAATTTTTAGCTTTGTATGTGTGATTTGAATTGAGGCTGTTTGAGCGAGTATGTCAAATATTATATAAATTATATGAGAACATAAAGTGTCACTGTCACTTACAATATAAATTCATTTACCAGGAAGCAGAAATTCTTGGGGAAATAATTAGAGAATCAGGTTTATTTCCCTCCCCCTCCCCCTGCATGAAATAGTAGGTAAAGACTACATCAGAGTCCTGATAAAAAGCAACTGCCTGACATACTCCAAGGTCTTTTATACTGTCTAATACAACTAAAGATTAACTTCCACTACTGAGGGTTTTTTTTTTTTCAGTCCAACCCTAACTTAATTGGCATCTTCTAAATATAGTCATGGATCTCTAATATGTAGAGTAAATATCACCACCATCCAAAACAAAAAAAAAAAAAAAAAAAAAAAAAAAAAACCAAAACCAAAAACAAAAATCCAGATTTCATTGTGAATAGGAAAGCCTGGCTTTGCCTCTAGAAGTCAGTCCAGATCATGATAAGGTTATTCAGTCCACTTATGCATGGACACCTTCTGCTAATCATTACACATAGCAATTTAAACTAATTGCAAGACACCCTATGGGCCAGCTTTGGAGTCAGGTCACCCAACAGGCAAATGTTTGATATTACTTTACATCATGTGAGCCAAGACTCTACCTGATTATTTAGATTGAGATTATTCATATAAATCATTATAGATGCATGTATACAAGTAGATACAAACATTCTCTCTCTCACGAACACATACACACATGTGTGAAGTAACATTAATGATTTTTTAATGGTGTGATTTTTATCCCTCATGTTGGCTCCAGTTTGTGGCACTTGGATTTTATTGTGGTGTTTGTGAGAGAAGATGAATGCTACAAATGTTTATATTGCCACCGAGATTTCTAGGAAAAAGGAATTACACAAAATCATCCTGAAAAACCTAGAAAGAATTTTAGTTGTAATTGAACCTTTTTAGAGATTGTCTAGGTTTATGCCATCAAAAGTAAATTGTCCAGGTCTATGACCTCCAAAACAAAAGACTCTTTCAGACCTAAACAATAGACCTAAGCTTTCTTTCCAATTTTAGTATAACATGTAGATTTTTGGGGGCTCTAAGAAAACAATGAACCTATGCCTAGGAAAAAAAGATAAGATAGGGATGTCATGCTTCAAGAACATCTATCCCCTCAAAAACATCCATCCCCGCAAGAGGTTAGTTAATTGTGAGGTAAAGGACACATATTCCTTTTATAACTAAGGAAAGAGAGACGTTCCTTTGAAAACTCTACCAATGATGCTTGTAAAACTCTAGTGACAATTAGGTATGATGAGGGAAAGGGGTAATTTAGATTAGGAAACAGACCAACAAAGGAAGAAAAGGAAAGTTAGTGAAGAGAGATAAAGGGAGAGAGATAATTACAAGGTGTTTCCAGGTAAATCCTAACCCATTTTCTTTTCTCACTCAGTTAAGCACTCAGTGAATCAAGTAACTTAGTTCCTATTAGTTTTTTTGTTCGAAAACAATAAAACAAAAGCGAACCATCACAGCCAGAGAGGCCAGCTCCCAGGTATGCACTCAGAATAGCAAAAAGAATGTCTTCAGAATAGCAAGACTTAGAAAACATTCTTGTCTCTTTGAGGGTCTTTAGAAAAGGACTCATGAGTTTTGAAGGTAACTTTCTTTATTAACAAATCTTGAAAAAAAATACCTCTTCTTCCTGACAATCTTTCTATAGTTATGTCTCTTTACACACAGCTACATCTCTTTCCTCCATATATCTGTCTTCTATACACATTTCTTCTCTCTACTCTGTTTCATTTCTTCGCACATTGCTCAATCTCTCTTCCATATCATTTACTCACCCACCCACCCACCCACCAATCACTCACTCACTTACTCACTTACTCACTCTCTCACTCACTCCCTCCCGCACCCACTCACTCATATTTTCATATACTTCTCCCAAACTCCAACTCTGGACAATTATGAGTTACACATAATGGCTCCACCCATTCTAATAACACATGATACATTACAGTTTCTCTCAGGCTAGGGAAGTCACACTGACTGAGCATGGTGATTAAAGCATGCACATAGCTCTTAGTGGTCATGGTTCCCAGACAGAGAGTGACATTGAAATTCAGGACTTAAACAATAAACAGTTAGCTGGCTGGACCTTGAGTCCTGCATCACAAACTAAGGCCAGGAGTATTTGCAGAAAGTCAATTGCTGCAGGGAATTTTGTCTTAATGTTTTGAGTGTGACTTTGGTTCAACAAACAGATACCTATGAACTTGCCCTTGTACAAACTTTGCAGGGGCAATTAGCCTATTTTGAATCTGCTCTGAAGTATAAATCAGCTAAATGTATGAAAAGCTGTCTTTGTAACTGAGAATCTTGTAATTTTCCTATGTCAGTCTGAGCTAAGAAAAACATCCTAGCATTATTTCTACTTATCAAAATTATACAGTTTAAGCACATAGCATCTTCCCGATCATCCACAGCTATTTGTGTGCCCAGTACATGGAATATATATAAGATAGACATTTTTAAGGAATAAATGTAGTGACACATGAGAAAAATTACAGAGAGAAGCAACCAGTTTTCACAGTCAGTAACCCCATGGTCCTTGCCTAGCAGAGCTCACCATCAGAAAGTCATTCATCTGGTGGGTTGACCTGTAGAATATTAGCTGTCAACTGCTATATATTCTTGTAGGCTCTGGTAAAGCCATTGCTAACAGCATCTCTCAGAAACAAATGAAGAAACCATTTCTTATCTTCCCCCTATAATGTGTTCCTGAGCACTGATACAGGAGAAGATCCAAGAGGAGGCAGTTGCTCTGTTGTGGATTGGTGGTCCCTGCTTTCAGAAAGGCAAATGACTACCTGCATGACCTTAACAGATAAGTACATTTTCTCAAAAATGAATGAATAAATGAAAATAAAAGATCTCACTTTCATCTATTGTCAAAGAAGACAATCCATTCAAATATGGGCACCCACCATCTTTTCACTATTCTGATGCTCTGCTCCGTTCATCAGAGCATGTACTAACAGAGACCTGTCCTGGTCTCCATGTCAGTTCTGCTGCTCAAAGCTGCCAATCAGCATCTCAGAACTGCCCTGAAGTTAGTGAGTAGCCTTTCTGCTAGCACATCAAACTATGGGTTTTTTTTGAAGATATTTTAAAAACTAATTATCTAAATCATTTGAGATAAACTGGCAACTTAACAATCATAAGACCTGGTGACATGTTGTAAAGACATATAAAATTTTGTTACCTGTCATACCAAAATATTAAGATGACCACAAGCTGTGAACTAAATCTAATTTTCACACATATGCACATTTATTAATGAGTTTTTATAATTTGGTTTTATTTTATTGAGTTTAAATTAATCACATGTCTTATTGACATGTGATTGGCCACTAGGCTGACCCTGAACTCAAAAGCCTCTAGCTTAACCATCCTC